TTTCTTTTTCAATTTACATGTGCTATCCATTTTAGTTGTTGTCGTTGTTGAAAGTCTTCAAGTTATACAGTTTTTGTAATTTGGCGACGTTCTTTATTTTTGATTATATAGCGCCAGTCTTTGTGATCTGATGAAGGATAGTATCCCTAAAGTGTTCATTCACTTGAATCACTGACCTGAGAAAATGGTTTTATATAGCTGATGGTCTAGCCATTTCTAAACGCGTCGGACGCCACGCATGACATCCAGTATGAGATTCTAGATCTGACAAAGCTTTTGTTTAAAAACATGAGCCGAGTTCTTAGTTTAATGTTTTGGTTTTGCAGTGTTAGGTGAAACTATCCCAAGCACATGCCTATTCTATCTTCAGTTTCCTTAGCTCCTATACTAAATTTGTTATAACTGATCCATACACCGAGGTATTTGACTGATTCAGCGTATGTGCCATCACACCTTTCATTCCTGTTCCAGGTCATAATTAAATTTACTCTTTATTCCATATCCCGATCGTATTTTTATGAACCCCTTTAGGATTACACGATTATTTTTATAAGAAACTTAGAATTTTTATCAGTACTCGGGATACTTAATTCTTGTGCAAGTATTAGTACTCAAGTTTCAGAAATAGTTATTTATATTTCTTTTTAAACTAGGCTTTAATAAATAGAATATAAAGACATTTTAATGTAACCAAACTAACAGAGTTGGTAGAATTCTCAGGCAATATAAAGATGTACATGTTTTTTATAATTGCTTTGACGATGGCGAGAAAGAACATTGAAGCGTTAACTGAATTGTTAACAACTCATGTTTCTTAATCCAATAACATTTACCAAAAATATTATTCTGAGTTATTTCAGTGAAAACCACTTCCCAAAATCTGATGAATTTTACCTGGAATCCGTTTCTGGTCGGGCCAAGAAATTTATGCATCATTTTATATTTTAAGACATAAAGGCAAAACGTAACTCTGAAGATAATGCTTGTAGATAATCAATATTTGATTAACGAACCATTATGGATTTTCTCCAACATCATCTGTCATACGACTTTAAGTAGAGGGCGCCTTCCGCAGAGCAAAGCAATGTCGAATTCTGAAACGATGTGATACACAAGGCTTTGTTTTGCTTTTCTCGATTTAGGACAGTGGTATGGACCACAACATCCAAATGGTAACTGGGAAAATAGTGGCCTGAATGTCACATTCTAGCAACATATTATTATCATCAATATATTTCGATTACTGCTATGGCCACACTACCTACCAAGTCTGTGGAAAGCCTAAGTCAGGTAGTGGTGTGTTGTTATGGGTATATTTCATGATTTGTTTTTCTAACTCCCATAACATCACAAGCGTTACATGGACAAATTTCTTCTTCGTGTGTGGGCTGTACTTATCAAGAATGTTTTTTTTATTTCTCTTAAGCTGAGATTTCCAGGGATTTTTTCAGTGTGTTTATCATTTCAAGTGCACCTACTATGACTTGTTCTATTCTTGTTTTCAATTTCTTTTTATATTTCGATTTCCATGTGTTTTTATTTCGATAGTTTTTCAAATCCCTTGATTGCTATGTTACAGTCTACTGGGCAAGCCATATCAATTAGTAGGCAAGTTTTTTTTTTCTTTTCGGTTTTTGCTAATTATGTCAGGATTAACTTCCTTTTCTGTAAAGATGATGTAATCCCCAAAAAATGTGATGTCTTCTATTTCTGTAACCGGTGTTGGAGGATGTTCATACAAGTGTTTATTGACACCTTTTCCAAAGTGTTTGCATATTGTCCGGTGTAAGTATTGCCCAACTCTATCGTGACGATTTTTATATTCATTTGACGCAAGTACAAAACACCTTGGAATTAAATGGTCTATAGTCTCCTGATATTTGTCGCAGAACCTGCATTTTGGATCCACACTATTATAAATGATATTTGTCTGAAAGTTTCTTGTGAAAAAAACGCTGCAAGAAGAAAGCATTTCGTTTCAGTCTTTAATCCAGATGCTCGTAACCACCAACTTTATCAACATCGGCTTGATTAGCACGTTCTGGATATTGGCCACGCAGAGGTTTGTCTTACCAGCGTTGTTACATCTGTTCAAGAGTTTTATCCTTGGTTTTATTATTCATAATTTTTACTGCAACATTTGGTTCTTGGGTTCTGTTTTGGTTTTCTACAGAATCTACTAAATGTAATTTTCGTCTGTATTTACAACCTTCTTTCATGTTTGAACATTTTTTCTGTTTTCGTGTTGTTTGACTAATTGTATCACCCAATCCTTTGTTGTTTCTATGTGTGTTAGTAAGCCAATAGTTGTATTGTATGACAATTCAAGCTGAATAAGACCTCTTCCACCTTCTTTACAGTGGTATGTATTGACAGTCTACATCAGCCATTGCATGATGCATGTTATGCTTAGAAAGAAACTTTCTTGTCTTAGAATCCATTCGTCTGATATCATTTCGAGTTCAGTTCAAGATGTTAAAACTATATTGAACCACGAGAATGGCAAGGCTATAATGGTCATAATTCTATTCTGAGAATTCAATTAAGTTCTTAATATCAGTTGTACTCTTCTGTAGAACTCGCACTATTTCTTTCGCTTTTTTATGGTGAATTCCTTCACTCTCATTTACACCGAGGTACTTATAAGCTTCTTCTTGCTGTAAATCTTTGATTGTACCCCCAGAGTCTAAGCTAGTAGAAGAGGTTTGTTGTAGTGATCCTTGTAAAATTGTGGCTTTAGTACATTTATCCGAACGGAATCCCATCCCAATATCACTGAAACATTTTACTGTTTTCAGGAGACCTTTCAGGTCACTGTCATTCCTAGCATACAACTTTAAGTAATCCATGTAAAATAGATGGCTTACTTTCTTTTTAAATATCTTACAGCCATATTCCGTCCTGTTAAATTTCGCTTTAATGTTATTAGGGATATACAAAATAGTAAGGGAGACAAAGAATCACCTTGTATTATTCCTCTGTTGATGTTTATTTCACCTGACTTATAGACGCCATTTATATGATTGAGTAGAAGTGTTTTAAAGACATTAGGATCAAGGAATAGGGTACACTATCGATTGCCTTAGGGTAATCTATTCAGGCAGTACTGAAATTTTTCTTTGTATTGAAGCAGTTTTCCAAGATCATTCTATTAATAATGGATCTTTACATCCATAAGAGCCACATTTGCATTATTATTATTATTATTATTAAATCCTTATACAGTAAACTTATTGTTTTTACTCTGTTTAATTTTCAAGTGGAAACAAGTTGAATTAGTCATTCGTGAAGGGTGTTGACTTTTTAGACGATGAAAATCTTAAAAAACTACCACCAAAAAGCTAACCCCTGTAGTTTTCGTTTGATATTATAATAAACATTTCTGACTCATAATACTAATTTGTTTTGAGAGCAAAAGGAAAAACACAACTGTGAACAGGTCGTTATTGTTAGTTATTCATCTTTACCAATATGTATATGGCACCCATTGGAAATCGAACTAACTAACCAGTTGCCATTGATCAAACCAAATTAGTACGCTAACCATGCTAAGCATGCCGATGTACTCATATTTAAAACATTTGTTATATATTCACTCAGAGGAAGGAAGTCTGAAATATGTTTAAAAAAAGTTAAAATATTTTACATTTTACAATCGTCACAATTTACAATATGATTTATGCGAACGCGGAAAAGTTGAAATTATGTCTGACAACTTTCGTTCTGCTCTGTTATCAAAGTTAATTCATATATATATATATATATATATATATATATATATATATATATATACAGATACTTGTAAACGTTGGAAATGAATAAGTGCTGTTGAACCATCTGGTATCTACAAAGACGAAGTGATTTCGAACACATCCCTCGTTGCTACACGCGAGAGAGGATACGATTGCAAAGTATTCAAACTGTATTGTGGTTATTATCTTCTTAACACGTTCGCTGCTGTGGACGTTTTTATACGTCTTTACGAAGCTTATATTACATTGCTGTCGGCGCATATTCAAGACACCTCGATAGGTCGGTTCGTAGCGTTTGTTGTGTAAGTATTTTCCTGATTCATTTTTAAATTTTTTTCTCTAATTACATATAGAAAGATAGAAAGGGAGTAAAGTATTAAGAAATAAGAAAGTGTGACAGAGAAATCCGAATGCTCAAAGGAATAGTGGAAGATGCCTTGCCGACACGAAGAAAAATATTAAGAGATAGGAAAATGTCGTTAGAAACAAAGAAAAGAGTACGGAACTGCTATTTACTCAATACTCTGATACAGTTTGAAATGCTGGACAATATACACAGAAATGATGAAGCAATGTGGTTCTACAGAAAGATGCTGGGGATATAGAAGGAAGATCTGCGAAACTGGGAAGTTTTATTGAAAATGGAAACAAAAAGGACACTAATACTTAGAATAAATAAGCAACAGTTGAGATTTCTACGACATATAATGAGGAAAGTGAGCTTGAAGACTTTAGTATTCACAAGATATACTGAAGGCAACACGGGCAGACGGAGACAGTTTTGTCAACACACTTGTGATGTATTTATATTATGCATTGGAGTTCCATTTAACTTAGTCTGTACTGTAGAGTATCTGATCGAAACTAAACTGACGGTGCCCATGAGAAATCGTCGTTAACGTCTAAATGTCCAGTAAATAGGCGAGATTTATGTCGATTCAGGAGAAGAATCATGTAATAGGTATTATGCCAACGATTCAAGGAAAAGCAATACGTGAGGAAGTCCAAAATGGCAATCATTATCAGAGACTTTTCTCGGTTCCAGTCGTTCTCATATATAATGTTATATGTGGTTCATTTCAGATCATGCAGATTAAAATTTGTACTCAGTGTGACATCTGAGAAGCCAGGGGCAGGGTTGACCTTGAGTAACCTCCCGGCTACCGAATGTAGATTCACATGGCCCATACACCTGCACTTGTGTTGCAAGCGGAGTAAAAGAGCAGTATTATAGGCAAATATATAAACAATGAGAGAGAGAGAGAGAGAGAGAGAGAGAGAGAGAGAGAGAAAAGATAGAAAAAAGATAGAGAGACACTCACGCATCGCACACGAGAATGTAAAGTCCACGTTCAGATCAAGGCCCAGGGCCACACACTGAATACTGGTTGACAGTAAGAGACATTCAGTTTCGTGTTTTCATTAGTTATGTACGAATATCACGTTATATATAATCGTAGCGGTCGTGAAAGGGGCTGTTTCGATTTTTTTCTAAAGTGACACAGCCTAGCCAGGCAACAATGGTATAACAATGCAGTAGGGAATGTGCTAACAAACAGGAAACGTAAAATAGTTAAATTAATTTTGCAGACCATTATTCCTGTTGTGAGTCCGATCTTATTAGTTGCTAACACTTATGGCCTTATGTCAAACGACGCCTAATTTAGTAAAGAATCAGGAAACACTAGTTAACAAGCTCTTCTCGCAGACCCTTTGTTCATGTAGTGAATTAGATTCTCACTTGCTGTGGCCGTGCTGTGCGACCTTGCACCAGAAGAAGGTAAGGCTTATTGAATATTGAGAAAAGATTTCATATTATTACAAGCCTTATTTAATTATGACTGGAGTTAAGATATGTCCTAAACTTGAGCAGAGACAGCCCTTTGCCACATGATGCTTTCCTGACTCATGAATTATGACCACCTTTTGCAACACCCATTAGTTTTCCTTTTCAGGGTCAGAGAGAAGGTATGCAATACATTTTTACACTTTGTTAGCGTATACTCTATTTAGGAAGTAAAAACTTCATTTACATACTTTCGATCTCTCTCTCTCTCTCTCGCTCTCTCTCACACACATACACACACAAATTATATATATATATATATATATATATATATATTTGGTTGGATTGATGTGAGTTTGTGACCCTGGGTTTCACGCTTTTTTGATCGTCAGACAAACTGATTAAATTTTTTAATTTTGGGTTTTTGTAGATTGCGTGTATTGGTGTTATTATGAAGTGGGGGTGGAAATCGTCGTCGTGATGTCATCGTGCTAACGCAAACATGTTTGCGTTAGCACGATGACATATTTGCGTTAGCACGATGACATCACCCCGACGATTCCCCACCCCCACAATAACACCAATACACGCAATCTACATAAACCCCAAATTTTTTAAAAATTAATCAGTTTGACGATCGCAAAAGCGTGAAACCCAGGGTCACAAACTCACATCAATCCAACCAAATATGTTAGCTCTATCTCTGATATTTAGCGGTTTCTAATAAGTACCGCGCATATAAGTAATGAGGTATGTAATATGTATGTGAATAAGTGAAAATTATGAGGATGAGGACGATTGACTCTTGACTTGAATAAATTAAGATTGTAGTTTTCAGAGAAGTATAAGCGCGAGAATCTGATTTTCAAAGTTCTCATAATAAGTGGAGCGTTTGAAACCGTACCGAAAACACTATAATCGAAATAGGATGAATAAGAGAACAGAGGAAGTAGCGAGTCTATCCAAACCAAAGCAGTATTTGTTTTTATGACGAAACCTGGGGAATTGCTAGAGAGCTGCTTTCACTGTCACCAGCGACAACGACCAAACACCTTGGCTGAAGGTGCAGATGTATTGAGGTAACAATGACAACAATAAAAATAATAAAATAACGTACAAACACTACAGAAATTTTTAAGAAAAAAAAAACAAAACAAAAAGCCACATAATATTGTAATAAACATTTTTCAAGAAAAGAAAACCATTAATACTTTAATATCATCAAAGGAAAAATATTTTGACGGAAGATTAATATAGGATTCTTGTTTTGCCTGTTAATGCTCTGAGCATTATACATTAAGTTACGTTTGTGCAGTTTGTTTTTTTTTTGTTTGTGCAGTTTTTGGTTTACTTTGTTACAGCTTCTCATATTTCCTATTAGCTGCTTTTTTATGGGGCCATAACGTAAGTAAATAGATTCCAGTACTTTTTTGAGGGTGGGGGAGGGACTTCCTAAAAAGATATAAGGATGACAAATTCTCACTTTATAGCAAACATTCTAGGATTCTAAATGCGAAATGACTTCACGATGTCTCAGACCCTAGAACATGCAAAATTACTGGGTTTGATTGTGGACTGTAAATTGATGCAGGGGCATTAAGCAATACTGATAGATGGCTAGATCGGAACTGAGATAGAAAACATATATGAACATCGATAGATAGGAACAGGTGGAAATAGATAGATAGATAGATAGGAGCAGGCGAAGACAGATATATATAAATAAACTGAGATATACAAACAGATAGATATGAATAGAGAGAGATAGTAGATAGACGAACAGATAGATATGTACACATAGACATGAATAGACAGAGCTGAACTGATATATATATATATATATATATATATATATATATATATATATATATATATATATATATATATATATATATATATGAATATGATTGAGATAGATAGATAGATAGATAGATAGATAGATAGATAGATAGATAGATAGATAGATAGATAGATATGAAAAGTTGGGAGATCTGAATAGATCAGAGACGGACAGATAGATATGAACAGACTGAGAGAGATAGATAACCCTGAAACGAGTAAATAGAAAAGATTAACTTTATAGATATATACATATATTCATTGACCCAGTCTAGTAGACAAACGTAACTTGGTTAGTTCAAATAGCGAACGATTTGTCGAAATTGGCAATTCCACCTATGAACCGTGTGATCATTCAATTTACTAATGAAGTGAACGTATTGCGTTACGTTCTTCGTGCCTTCGTCCATCAAAAAATGTGTCTTATATATTAGATCAATACAATTTTCGTTGCAATGTAGCAGAGATGGCAGAGTGTGTACAAATCAGCAAAAGAAAGTAGTGCAATAGCCTCAGCAGCGGCGTTATTATGGTAGAGCAGGCAGAAGAAAGCCACTTCTTAAATCAATCAAAATTCAGAATATAAAACGGTGATAAATTCTCGTAGTGGACATACCATTGGACGTTTGTAATATTCTAATTTCGCTAATTTCTGGATGAATTTAAACGCGAACTTCCTTGGAACCCGGTAGACATAGTCAGGGTTTTGTCATTTCTTATATTTGCCCACTGTCTTTACTATTACTCTACTTCTCTTTTGTTTGAACAACTTTTCTTATTCAGTCCGAACGTTTTGTATTGAACGATAGGAAGAATGTTCACTGGTCATTAATAAAGAAAAAATTTGTAGACGGAACAGGTCTATAATATGCATAATGTAAATTCATTGCTAATGATTTCATGAAAGAAAAATGAAAACGAAAGAGACTGTCAGGAAACGAAAAACTTATACAAGCGTTACTGACAGAATAGGGCTATGTAAATTCATTGCTAATGATTTTATGATAGAAGTGCAAAGAAAAACAAGAAGAACGAGATTGTAAGGATTTATGAAAGCGTTACTAATAGAATATGAAAGATGATATATATATACATATATATATATATATATATATATATATATATATATATATATATATATAAAGTCTATTTTTCTTTCGTAGCGCGTGCGAATTCTACTCTGAAAAGAGTCTGCGCCATTTGCTTCACCGAGAAACATTTCTTAATTATGTGTAACGGAGCTAATTTCATTGTGAATGTTTGCCATATGAAGCCTAACTGCTGGAGAAAAATACAGTTATGTGGCCTATTTACCATTATTCAAAATGAGTGAGTGTGTGTGTGTGTGAAAGAGAGATAGAGAAAGAGAGATAGAGAGAATATTATTATCATCATAAACCTATTACTTTATATATTAAAAGAAAAAAAAAACAACTCTACATAAATCTGTAATTAACTTTGTCTCAGAGACAAGGTTACAATTTTCGAAAAACAAGCCGGGATTACAATCGACCCTTAGAGATGCTAGAAAACTTAACTAGATTTATTATCAGCAGACATAATCTTAACATGAGATACGTTGATGACACAGTGTTGATATACGTCTCAGAAGGAAAACTAAAGGAAATCCTAGACATGGTAGTAAAGGAAAGCATGGATAAAGGACTAACTATTAACTCTAAGAGTACAGAATGCACAGTAATCGGCAAAAGAAGTGAGATACGTATGGGAGAACGCCAATATCAAGCAGATGCATAAATTCTACGAATTGGCTTGGGTAGTACCTTACAACGGAAAATATAACGCATAGTTTCGAATCTGCATAGGGAAAAGGACAGATGACTTCTAGGAACTGAGTATTAATAAATAGGAAAAATCTGTTAGCAACAAAAGAAAGAATTCTGAACTTTATGTAATATTAGCAGACTTCGCCCGCTCGCTATCGCATTGCAAAGTAAGATATATTCACTATTTGAAATCATTGAAACAAAAATTTTAAATGAAAATTTTATTCATAAACTGGTTGTAAGCATGGAAGAAAACATTTGTATTTATTCAGACAGCTAAACATTAGAATTCTAGCCGTTTCTAAAGAAATGAAACATGGTGAAACTAAATAACATTTAACAGATGTTAAAACAGAAATAAAATACATGTATTTGAATGAATGAAAAACATAACCTGGTCCGTCCTGGGTAAGACAATGAAGATACATCCGCGTCATGGGTAAAACAATAAACTACATCCAATTGATCAGGAGGTTTTGAGGAGCATGGGACCACCTCTTAATTACTGGCGTTCCCAGGTCCACCCTGACGTGGGGTGGTAGCACCTGTCAGGGTCCCAGCTATAATCAAATAGTTAACCCCCACAAAAGGAGTCAAAGCACTATGAAAGTGACTTTGTGTCACAACATGACCTCATGGGTAGGGGTGAGGGGTCAGTAAATACAAATTTATCATCTCTCAGTTGCGTCTCTGTCTTTGGACAGAGTGCGTTCATGGGCGGCTCCGTTAAAGGGAAGAGTCGAAACTGAGGAAAATTATACTGAAAGGTGCCGGTCCTTGGGAACAGATGCCCGAGGCTGCGCATTCTCATTGCACTAGAAAGACGGGTCGGTGTTCGCACCGAGGCCAGCGCAACCGAGGGTTACGTGGGCTCGGGCAATTTTTGTTCCTAGCCCGGGTGTACGCGCTCGGGC